CTCCAGTCTGGGTGACAGAGTGAGACTCCAACTCAAAAAAAAAAGAAAAAAGAAAAGAAAGACTTAACCAGGGAAGGGAACCAGGGATAACCTTATAAGGGAAAAAAATTAAAACTTAGGTGACGTCTGGGAAAAATTGTGCACCCCAAAGTACTTGGCCAATGAGGAACCGGGGGAGGGATTTGCACACTAGGGGATAAATTGCTTGCCAGAGCCGCCCCGGGTGTGCCTGCCTACCTGTCACCCTATTTTGCAAGACCGCCATTAAAGTCTCCCTTCTGCTGTACTCCGTGTCTCCATGTCCATCCTTTAAAACTGGACAAGTAAGTTTGCTTCTCACAATGAGTAAGTTTTCAGAATCTCCAGGAAAATGGATTGTGGAACTGGGTCACCCACCACCCAAGGGCAGCAGAATAAACAGATCATGGGTTGAAAACTTTCTTCCTCGGCTGGACGCTGTGGCTCATGCCTATAATCCCAGCACTTTGGGAGGCTGAAGTGAGAGGATTGCCTGAGCCCGCTGGCTCGAGATCAGACTGGGCAACTTGGTGAGACCTCATCTCTACAATAAATTTTAAAAATTAGCAGGATGTGGGGGCACATGCCTGTGGTTCCAGCTACTTGGAAGGCTGAGGTGGAAGCATCACCTGAGCCCAGCAGGTCGAGGTTGCCATGGCTGTAAGTGTGCCACTGCACTCCAGCCTGGAAGACAGAGTGAGACTCCAACTCAAAAGAAAAAAAAAAAAAGCCGGGCTCGGTGGCTCAGCCTGTAATCCCGCACTTTGGGAGGCTGAGGTGAGTGGATTGCCTGAGCCTGCGTGTTCCTGACCCGCCTGGGCAACTTGGCGAGACCTCATCTCTACAATAAGTCAACAATTCGCCGGGCGTGGTAGTGCACGCGTGTAGTTCCAGCTATTTGGAAGGCTGAGGCGGAAGGATTGCCAGAGCCCTGCAGGTCGAGGCTGCAGTGGCCCCAAGCGGCCACTGCACTCCAGTCTGGGTGACAGAGTGAGACTCTAACTTGAAAAAGAAAAAAAAAAAGAAGAAAAGTTTCTTCTTTATTTGTGAATGTTAGAGAGTTTGTATGAAAGTATAAACAGTCAACCACAGAGTTATGCACTTAACAAATAAAGAGCATGGAAAAGAGTGTGATTTCCTGCTACATTATACTCCAGAGTATAGTGCAGTCCCAGGACATCTTCCAGCCACAGGCAGAGTAGTCAGGCAGCGGGGCAGGGGAGGTAAGGGCAGGATTTCCCATCATGGATGCCCCAGCCTGACTCTCCCTCTCAACTCTCCTTCCTTGCAATCAGCCTATTCCTTCTGAATCTCCCCCTTACTTCAAAGAAGCTTTAGAAAAGAAAAAGCTGGAGGTAAGTGGATTGCCTGAGCCTGCAGGTTCAAGACCCGCCTAGGCAACTTGGTGAGACCTTATCTCTACAATAAATCAAAAAATTAACTGGGCATGGTAGCGCACGCCTGTAGTTCCGGCTATTTGGAAGGCTGAGGTGGAAGGATCACCGGAGCCCCAGCAGGTCGAGGCTGCGGTGGCCAGGAGCAGCCACTGCACTCCAGTCTGGGTGACAGAGTGAGACTCCAACTCAAAAAAAGAAAAGAAAAAGCTGTTAGACGCAGTGGCTCATGCCTCTTATCCAAGAATTTTGGGAGGCAGAGGCAAGAGGATTACCTGAGCTCAGGGTTTGAGACCAGCCTGGGCAACTTGGTGAGACCTCATCTCTACAATAAATAAAAAAATTAGCTGAGTGTGATGGCACATGCCTATATTTCTGCTACTTGGAAGCCTGAGGTGGAAGGATTGCCTGAGCCCAGCAGGTTGAGTCTGTGGTGATTGTGAACAGGCCACTGCACTTCAGCCTGGGCGACAGTAAGAGTGACTCAAAAAAAAGAAAAGAAAAAATTTAGAAAGGTGGTTGGGAGTCTTGGACACCTGGTCTCAAGGCAGAAGGAGAGCCGGGCTCGGTGGCTCAGTTTGTAATCCCAGTGCCTTGGGAGGCTGAGGTGAGTGGATTGCCTGAGCCCGCGGATTTGAGACCCGCCTGGGCAACTTGGTGAGACCTCATCTCCACAATAAATCAAGGCAGAAGGAGGTGGAATATTTATATATCAGCCTTGAGCAAGGCACTGGGTCAGGTAGTGTGGACTAGGGCAGATGTAGAGATTAAAAGCAGGGAGGTTATATATCCAGAATTAAAAAAAATTGTTGACTGGGTGCAGTGGCACCAGCACTTTGGGAGGCTGAGGCGAGAGGATTGCCTGAGCCCATGGGCTCGAGACCACCTGGGGCAATTTGGTGAGACCTCATCTCTACAATAAATCAAGAAAAATTAGCTGGACATAGTGGCAGATGCCTGTGGTTCCAGCTAGTTGGAAGGTTGAGGCGGAAGAATTGCCACCCAGCAGGTCAAGGCTGCAGTGGCCGTGAACGTGCCACTGCCCTGCAGCCTGGGCGACAGAGTGAGACTCTGACTTGCAAAAATATGAGTCCTGTTATTTGGTTCTGAAAATACAGTGAGTCAGGTGCAGTGGCTCATGCCTATAATTCCAGCATTTTGGGAAGCTGAGGCAGGAGAATCGGTTGAACCCAAGAGTTCAAGGTCAGCCTTGGCAACATATGGAGACCTCATCTCTACAAAAAATTAGGTGGGTGTGGTGGCATGCCTGTAGTCCCAGCTACTCAGGAGGCTGAAATGGGAGGATTGCCTGAGCCCAGGAGGTCGAGGCCTTGGTGAGCTGTGACCCCAGACTGGGCGACAGAGTGATTTTGACTCAAAGAAAAAAACAGAACAGAAAATACAGTGGCTGCGTGTAAGAAACACTAGTCTTGCCTCAAAGGAAGAGACAAGATCCAGAAAGGGATCTCCCACACCGCTTAGTGGGGCCAGACCAGTGCTAGCTGGGTAGTGAAGACAGACGTGTCTGTGGGAGTCAGGGAGGAGAACACCCAGGGCAGGGGTCAAGGCAGGCGCCCCAGGAGGTGCGGTTTGGGCAGGGCCAGAGTGTTGGACAGGCCTCAGCTGGGTGGAGAGAGCAGGGTGACGGGCATGGGAGTAGGAATGGCTGCCAGAAGGTTAGAAAGCAGGTGGCAGGGGCAGCAGCCCTCCCTTCCAAATCAGACTGCGGGTTGCTCAGACCCCCAGGACAGCTGTGTCCATGCTGCGTCCACCTCCCCTCACCAGGACCAGCTGGGCGAGGGCAGCTGGAGCTCATTCCTGTGCTTGGAGGTGGGAGAGGAGTCTGATGTGTCCGGGTTGACTTGGGGGGGCTCTGGGCGGCGACTCCTAGACTCACAGAGTAGTTCCAGATCCGCCTGCTCCCCTCATATCCTGTTATTCAGAAGCCTGTATCCGCTCGGAATGTGAGTGTCTTTTGTCCTGGGGGTGACGCATGTGGCCTCTGGCAGGCTGCCGCAGTGCCCAGTGCCCAGGGTCCGTCTCCAGCTGGGGCAGAACCAGGCCCTACTCCTCCTTAGGTAATGAGGTGGGGGTGGGGGTGGAGGTGTTGTTGGGTCCCGCTGTATATTTAGGGGTAGGTGTAGGGAAGAGAGGCTGGCAGGGTGTGGCGAGGGCTGGGGCGGAGGGCACCCGTTCCACAAAGTCTGATTCGATGAATCTGGGCCTTGTCCCTTCCGAAGAGGGGCAGCCAAGGCCTGGACTAGCTGCCCTGGAGCCTAGTAAGGGATTGGGGAAGGCCTAGGTTCCTACCTTTGCTTTATTGCCTGGGGCTGGGGGTCTCACCCAGTCCTGGGGGTGGGGTTAATAGCCCCTGCCCCTATTCCCCTCAGCTCATCCAGCTGTGCTTGCTCCCAGGGCAGGAGTGAGGGGTGGGCCAGTGTGGAGTAGGGTGGAAAGGCTGGGCAATTACTCTCCTCTTCCCATGGGAGCCTCCTGTCCTCACTAGGCTCTGCCCAGCTTGCCGCCTGGAGCCCGGGGCTGGGGAAGGGCCTGGAGAACCTGTCCAGGCGGTTCAGCGGGAAGCACTTGGCTTAGAGGAGCCACATAGTTCTCATTCCAGGGCCCACCCCCGCGCCCACCCTGTATTCCCCTCTCCCCTGCCTCCTCCGGAAGACAAGCCACTGGCTAGGGAGGGGTTAGGAGGAGGGGCCCAGGGCCCAGGATGCTTGTGGGGGAGGAGATTTGGCCTGTGGGGTCTCTTTTCATCTCCTCTCTCATGGTGCCCAGGCCCAGTGAGGGGGTGAGGTAGAGAGATGGCGGACTGCTACACGGAGCTGGAGAAGGCGGTGGTGGTCCTGGTGGAAAACTTCTACAAATACGTGTCTAAGCACAGTCTGGTTAAGAACAAGATCAGCAAGAGCAGCTTCCGCAAGATGCTCCAGAAAGAGCTGAACCATATGCTGACGGTAAGGCGTCCCACTGAGGGCCTGGCCTCTTCCTCCCCCCCCACCCCATAAACTCTGGCCTCTCAGGGTGTCCTTCCCCATGGAGGCCTCTGTCCTGTCACCCCAGGGTCTCCCTTATCCCCCCTGTGCTCTCAGGAGGCCCAGGCCCAGCCACTGAGGGCTCTGTTTGCATTTTCCAAGGGCAAAAACCTGCCCAGGCCAGATTCTGAGATTCTTCCTAGGGTCCTGCCGCCCTCACTATTGCTGACCCCTGCTGCCTCTTCAGGACACGGGGAACCGAAAGGCTGCAGACAAGCTCATCCAGAACCTGGACGCCAACCACGATGGACGCATCAGCTTTGACGAGTACTGGACCTTGATAGGCGGCATCACCAGCCCCATTGCCAACCTCATCCGCCAGCAGGAACAGCAGTGCAGCAGCTAGAGGACCCTGCCCAAGCACCTTCCAGGCACTGGCCTGACACCCTGCCCTGTGCTCTCCTCCCAGCCTCCGTCCTCAGCCTCCTCTGCCCACCCTCCCTTTGCTCCCTTCCCCCTCCAGACCTTACTCCTGACCCTTGCTGAACATGGCCCCCTTTGTGAGTGTCTCAGTTTGGGGGTGACTCCCTGGGGGTCTCAGTCCCTGGAGTCAGCAGGCCCTAGGGCCCCACTGAGGTTTTTTGTTTTTTTTTTTGAGTTGGAGTCTCACTCTGTTACCTAGGCTGGTGGCCTCAGGCAATCTTTCTGCCTCAGCCTTCCAAGTAGCTTGAACCACAGATACATGTCACCACACCTGGCTAACTTTTTGATTTATTGTAGAGATGAGGTCTCACCAAGTTGCCCAGGCTGGTCTCAAACCCCCGGGCTCAGGCAATCCTGTTGCCTCTGCCTCCCAAAATGCTGGCATTACAGACGTGAGCCCCTGCGCCCGGCACCCTCTGAGATTTCAATGCTGTTTGGGGGCCCCAGAAGTCTCCTCACCTGTTCAGTCTGCCTACCTTTCAGCATCCGATGTTCCTGCATGATTCCGGCCTGATCCTTGGTCCGTCTTGAACCTGGAGGTCAACTTGCTGCTTGAGGTCTCTCTGCTCTTGGTGGCAGAGGCAGCAGCAGCAGAGACCTCTCCCCTTTCCTGTAGCCCCTCTGCTGGGTAGAGAATTGCTTCCGGGGAACTCCCCTCCAGCTGCCTCTGCGTCTGGGGATGAGTTATGCAGGGCTGAGCCCCCTCTCTCCACTTAGTCCCTGAAATAATGCCAATAAAGGCTGGATTTGGATTTGTATTCCCCTCACTGGTCCCTTTGTGATGCTCATTAAAACATTCCCATTACTTGGAAACTTCTTATTCCTTGGTGGTCTGTGCCCTGGGCTCCATGGCAAGAGGGAATTTCAGAGGAACCTCAAAGGCAGAACAAGAAAACAGGCAGAACTTCTGGGTCCCAACAAGCACTGTCAGCCGTGGGCCAGCGGCTCCCTCCCTCCTGGCAGCTCCCTCCCTCCTGCTCCCTAAAGGCCTTAGGCCATAGGTCATCATCTATGGGTCCTCATATCCTAGACTCAGACTCACATTCAACTTCCAGGCACACAATGAGTCTCATTCAGTCCTTGCTGTGGTTCCACGACAGGGGCTGTGCCCTCTCTCTCAAGGAAATCTTGAGCTGTGAGTGGCACTGAGGTCCTGAATTCTCATTAATAGATTATTCTAATACACAGAGAAGTTGTGGGATGGGGAAGGAGGGGCGCAAGGAGGGAGGGAGTGGGAGGCCAGAGTGGGGAAGGAAACCATAACTTGTAGCTGGTGGAGAGGATACTGCTAGTTTCTGGGTTTCTCTCCTGCTCTTGCACTGTGGGAGCTCCCAGTAGGAGACCCAGCCTACAGAGCTTGGTATCTGTGTTTTTTTTTTTCCTTTTTTTGAGTTGGAGTCTCACTCTGTCACCCAGACTGGAGTGCAGTGGCCGCTCCCGGCCACCGCAGCCTCGACCTGCTGGGCTCCAGCGATCCTTCCGCCTCAGCCTTCCAAGTAGCCGGAATTACAGGCATGTGCTACCACGCCCGGCTGATTTTTCGATTTATTGTAGAGATGAGGTCTCGCTGCCCAGGCGGGTCTTGAACCAGCGGGCTCAAGCAATCCTCTCACCTCAGCCTCCCAAAGGTGTGGAATTACAGGCTGAGCCACCGAGCCCGGCTTCCTTTTTTTTTTTTTTGAGTTAGAATCTCACTCTATTGCCCAGGCTGAAGTGCAGTGGCATGCTCCTGGTTACCGCAGCCTCGACCTCCTGGGCTTAGGTGATCCTTCTGCTGTAGCTTCCTGAGTAGCTGGGACTACAGGTGTGTGCCACCACGCCCAGCCAATTTTTTGATTTTTTGTAGAGTCAAGGTCTTGCTATGTTTGCCTAAGCTGGTCTTACCTTCTGGGTTCAAGCAATTTTTCTGCCTCAGTCTCCCAAAGTGCTGGGATTACAGGCGTGAACCACTGCACCTGGCCTATATGTTTTGATTACTATAGGTTTGAAATATGCTTTATTTTATTTTATTTTTATTTTTGAGTCAGAGTCTCACTCTGTCACCCAGGTTGGAGTGCAGTGGCATGCTCCCGGCCACTGCAGCCTCCACCTGCTGGGCTCACGCGATCCGTCTCAGTCTTCCAAGTAGCTGGAACCACAGGCACGTGTCACCATGTCTGGCTACTTTTTCTTGATTTATTGTAGAAAGGAGGTCTCGCCAAGTTACCCAGGCTGGTCTCAAACCCATGGGCTCAGGTAATCCTCTCACCTCAGCCTCCCAAAGTGCTGGGATTATAGGTGTGAGCCACTGTGCCTGGCCTTGTAATACATTTTAAAATCAAGAGGGTGAGTTCTCCAGTCTTGTTCTTTTTTTCTCAAGATTGTTTTGCTATGTGGGGTCCTTTGAGATTCCATATTAACTTTAGGATTTTTTTTCTATTTCTGTAAATAATGCCACTGGGGCTTTGATAGGGATTTAATTGAATCTGTAGTTCACTTTCAGTAGTATGGACATTTAAGCATATTAATTCTCCCAAACCACGAACATGAAATATCTTTCCACTTACTTGTTTCTTTTTCTTTTTTTGAGTCAGTCTCTCTCTGTCACCCAGGCTGAGTGCAGTGGCATGCTCATGGTCACTGCAGCCTTGACCTGCTGGGCCTAGGGATCCTTCTGCCTTAGCCTCCCAAGTAGCTGGGACTACAGGCACACGCCACCAGACCTGACTAATTTTTTTTTTAGTTTGAGTCTCACTCTGTCACTCAGGCTGGAGTGCAGTGGCACATTTACGGCCACTGCAGCCTCGATCTGCTGGGCTCAGGCAATCTTTTCTTCTAAGCCTTCCAAGTAGCTAGAACTATAGGCACACACCACCATGCCCAGGTAATTTTTTAATTTATTGTAGAGAGGAGATCTCGCAAAGTTTCCCAGGCTGGTCCTGAACCCTGGACTCAGGCAATCCTCTTGCCTCAGCCTCCCAAAGTGCTGTGATTACAGGCATGAGCCACCGTGTCCGGCTGCGTTTTATTCGTTTTCATGCTATTGTAAATGGTACTTTTTTTTCGGAGTCAGAATCTTAGTCTGTTGCTCAGGCTGGAGTGCAGTAGCACGCTCACAGCCACCATAGCCTTGACCCCCTGGGCTCAGGTAATCCTTCTGCCTCAGCCTTCCAAGTAGCTGGACACAGCATGTGCCACCACGTTCAATTAATTTTTTGATTTATTGTAGAGACGAGGTCTCGCCATATTGCCCAGGCTGGTCTCAAACCTCTTAGCTCAGACAATCCTCTTGCCTCGACCTTCCAAAGTGCTGGGATTACAGGCCTGAGCCCCTGCGCCCAGCAAGTATTTTTTTTTCTTTTCTTTTCCTTTTTTTGAGTTGGAGTCTCACTCTGTCACCCAGACGAGTGCAGTGGCACGCTCCTGGCCACCGCAGGCTCGACCTGCTAGGCTCCAGTGATCCTTCTGCCTCAGCCTTCCAAGTAGCTGACTACAGGTGCGCGCTAGCACGCCCGGCTAATTTTTGATTTATTATAGAGACGAAGACTTGCCAAGTTGCCCAGGCAGGTCTTGAACCCGCGTGCTCGGTCAATCCACTCGCCTCGGCCTCCCAAAGTGCTGGGATTATAGGGTGAGTCACGGAGCCAGGCCCTTTTTTTTTTTTTTAAGAATGTTTTCTTAATTTTTTAATTTCTTTTTTCAATTGTTCATTGTTAGTGTGTAGAAACATTACTGATTTCTGAGTGTAAATTTTGTATCCTGCAACTTTCTGAATTTGTTTATTGATTCTGAATAGGCTTTTTCATGTGAAATCTTTAGAGTTTTCTGCACATAAGATCATGTCTTTTGAAATCAGAGATGATTTTACTTCTCCCTTTTCAATTTGGGTGACTAATTTCTTTTTCTTGTCTAATTTTTCTGACTAGGACATCCAGTACAGTGTTGATTAGAAGTGGTAAGAACCTTGTTCCTGCTCTTAGAAGTAAAGCTTATAATCTTTCACCATTGAGTAATGATGTTAGCTGTGGGTTTTTCATATATACGACTTTTATTATAGTGAGGCAATTTCCTTCTATTTTCCTAGTTTGGGTGTTTTTCATCATAAAAGGATACTAAATTTTGTCTAATACTTTTGCTCATCAATTGAAGTGATCATGTGTGTTTTTTTTTTTTGCTTGTTTGGGTTTTTTTGTTCTGCTAATGTGGTGTATTTTACATTTATTGATTTTCTGTTTTTGAGTTGGAGTCTCACTCTGTTGCCCAGGCTGGAGTGCAGTGGCATGCTTATGGCCACTGCAGACTTGATCTGTTGAGCTGATGCGATCCTTCCACCTTAGCCTTCCAAGTAGCTGAAACTACAGGTATGTGCCACCATGCCCGACTAATGTTTTGATTTATTGTAGAGACAGGGACTTGCCAAGTTGCCCAGGCTGGTCTCAAACCCCTGAGCTTAGGCAATCCTCTTGCCTTTGCCTCACAAAGTGCTGGTATTATAGGCGGGAACCACTGCACCTGGCTCATTTATTGATTTTCATATGTTGAACCATCCTTGCATTCCAGAGATAAATCTCACTTGGTCATGGTGTATAATTCTTTTTTTTTCTTTGAGCTGGCGTCTCACTCTGTTGCTCAGGTTGGGGTGTAGTAGCATTCTCACAGCCACTGCAGCCTTGACCTGTTGGGCTCAGATGACCCTTCTGCCTCAGACTTCCAAGTAGTTGGAACTACAGGCATGCACCACCATGGCTGGCTAATTTTTTTTTTTTGAGTTGGAGTCTCACTCTGTTGCCCAGACTGGAGTGCAGTGGCCACTCCCGGTCACTACAGCCTCGACCTGCTGGGCTCCGGCGATCCTTCCACCTCAGCCTTCCAAGTAGCCGGAATTACAGGCATGTGCTACCACGCCCAGCTGATTTTTTTTTAATTTATTGTAGAGATGAGGTCTTGCTACCCAGGCGGGTCTCGAACCCACGGGCTCAGGCAATCCACTCACCTCAGCCTCCCAAAGGTGCGGGATTACAGGCTGAGCCACCGAGCCCGGCTAATTTTTTGATTTATTGTAGAGATGAGGTCTCACCAAGTTGCCCAGGTTCGTCTTGAACCTGTGGGCTCAGGCAATCCTCTTGCTTCAGCCTCCCAAAGTGCTGGGATTATAGGCATGAGCCACTGCACCTGGCCTAATTTTTATTTATTAAAAAAAAACTTTTTTTTGA